AAAAAAAATGTCAATACCAGACGTACAGAATAGCAAAACACGCTATTTCTTCCTCACTTTTAGCGCAGGTGTGCATGAAACAGCGGGATCATGCATGATTCTTTGAAACGTACAAAATAAGCTAGCTTGGAACAGAACTGGTGCAAGTCCGCTGTCAAACGCCAGGCGATGAAACATCTTAACGATGCAATGATTCGTGTGGGCGGAATTCTGCTCGTACGACTTCAGAAGAAATGAATAGTTTTCGACCACCTTCGCATTCGCATATCTGAATGAAAAGAAACATAAAAATGTACATGAAATACGAATTTGAAGAGGAATTACATGGTTAAAACTGCCTCGACTTTTTTTCTCTCTTTTATTTTTCACACGATGGCCGAGGCAATTCAGGCTAACCTAAAAAAGGAGCCACTGATTCATGGAAATTATCAATAGAACCTGGGATGAAGCAAAAGAAAAATTTTTCACACGAAGAACATTCATTTTAGAAAATTAAAACCCAAACTACAGGAGGACCCCGACAGACGGATGATTCGACCTAGGGAAACTTAGAAGCAACAAATATTTCCCTACACCTGGAGAACGTCTGAAGGTACGGGAGACCCAAAATTTCTAGAAAAGGGGAAACATTCAATTTCTCAAAATTTGGATATTTCTTGAACAAATTTACCTACTTCATACTCCGAAAATTCAGAATAAATTTAATTATAAATTCTCTAAAATTCCTAATCAGAAGAGGCTAATTTAATGCTTCTTCTTTCCCAAATTGCTTCCATCAGCTGGGAACAGTGTAGCTGGGTACAGTGTAGTAAGACTTGTTCTTCGCTGTTTGCGCTCCTTTTGATGCCAGCTCTGATTTTGTTCTTGGAGTTGAGAAAAAAACATTATTTTTTTTGGAGGACGTCTTCCCAATTTTCGATCAGCTGAAGAACCAATTAAATACGTTCCCATTGAAGCCTACGGGAAAACGTAATCCAACATAGGAACAAGGTCCAAACCATTGGGTCCGATTCTCGGGGCCCACCGTAGTTCAAGTTGGGAACAGTGATTCTATAATTCAGAATTTAATTACCTGACGACGAAGTCTTTGAACTCGAGTTCTTTTTCTACAACGCGTTCATTCATTTCTTCTTCTTCCTCACTGTCCTCGTCTTCTTTGTCGGACTCTTTGGCTTCTTCTTCTTCCGCATGGGTACCGATGTTCGCAAAGAACATTTCCCGCAACAGACGCACTTCGTCGTCCGAAGTCATTTTGACTTCAGGAGGACCGAAAGTACCGTCAGTAATGAGAAGCCTGCTCATGAACGAAGCCGAAGATTAAGGAATCACACATTTTTGCAAAATGTGGAAAAATCCGTCAGTTTACCTCACTGAACGCAACAAGCTTAGCGCTTCCAAACATCCACCAGAATCCACTTTCCGCAGGGCCGATTGCATTCTTTTAATCGCATCAGCTCTGCAAAAAAAATCAATAGCGATGATATTTTAAATCTCATGCGTGTCGCAAAATTTGTCATTTTCTCACGAACGAAAACATGTTCCATATCATCACTCACTTTTTCTCTTCCTCTTCCGTCAACAGCAAATCGAAAGGAATCACGTCTTCCAACTCGGATTCGGAAATGCCTTCGAACACTTGCGGGAAAATTCCGCTCAGGGTTCCCCATTCTTCTTCAAGGCGAGTTTGGCGGGATTCTGCAGTGATCACGAGTTTTAGAAAATCAAAGAAGAATCGTGAAATACAAGCGCACCAACCTTCCGTTTCCTTCTTCGTATCTCGCTTTTTCTTCTGTTTCTTCGATCGAATTTTCTTCTGAATTACGATTTTCGAATGTACTTTCGTGAAATCTTCCAGCAGTTTCAGGTACACATGGTTCGTCTCGACGAGATCTTTCAGGTAATCTCTTGAAGCAGAAACGATGAAATTTTCACATGTTCAAATTAAATACATTGTTAAAATACTACTGCAAGCTATTGAAGTAGACCAAAATCTATAATTAAACTAGTCTGAATGGGCGGAAGAAAAACGCACGCGAGAAGTTCCGATCAGCACTGTGCAAGATGATGTATCATTTGTAACTGCCTCGAATAACCAACTTTTTGAGTAGGAATCCTTAGAACTACTTTCGTATCAAGGATATTGCTCAAAATTCAACAGCTCAAACCTCAAAGGCAACTTCCTCATATAGCACAACCGACACAAATCTGGGCGATGTCCACTTTCTCATCAGATATGACCGTCAAATCTGGTGAGTTTTCACTTTATCTTTCTAAACTATTGAAGTTTCTGAAAGCGCTCTTATTGCCTGAAAGTTTAATTAACATGTGAGTTATTATGTAAACTATTATTTCTCAATACTGTAATATCATTCCTCGGTGATAGGGTTCACAGAAGTCTTCGCAGTCTCATTTCAACCTTGATGTGCAATAATGTGACACTAGTTAGAAAACTATTCATAATTGACCGAAATAGACACAAATACAGTCAAACCTCTTCAAGCTCAAGGGACCAGCCGAAAAATTTGCGTCAGGAAGTTTCGAGTTGGGGAAAAAGTTATTTTTATCGGGGGAAAGAGAGAAAAATTAGAGGAAATTGTAATTTGTGATATTCTAGGCCTCATATTGCATTTTAAATGAGTTGACAGGATCCTGAGCTTGGAGGCATGGGCTCATTTGCCCTATCAGTCTTTCACTTCCAACACATCAAGTTACATTCTTACAGCCATTCTCTTTCCTGTGACAATAAAATAGAAGGCCTCCAGAAAATTGGAGGAATGGAGGTTTGAGGATAAAAGCCAGGGATTTCGAACAGGGACTGGAAAAAAAATCGTCATAGGGACGTTTTCAACTTTCCAAGGTTCAACTGTGATGTACTGAATATGAATTCGTCTAGAAATATTCCAAATAAAAGGAAAATACACAGGAACAATGTAAAAATTCGAAATCAGCCGAAAAAACAAAGATTCCTACATATACGTACACTGAAAACTTCGCCCGACTGAACCGGTGCAGATGAATCGGAAGCATGTCACGAAACTCCGGTTGATAGAAAATGTTGCTCTTAAGGATCCTCGCAGCTGACTGCATTGTCTGATCTCGTTGGCACGACATCGAAACAATGTTCATGAGGAGCTCATGGTATGCCCTGAAGGCAATATGCAATCGCTTGGCCCACAGCCGCATTTTTCGCTTGTCAGTCATCATCA